AAAAAAAAAAAAAAAAAAAAAAAAAGAATATAGTTGAAGCCCCTATATACTCCTCCCTGATAACATTGCCTCCCTACCTCCAGAGGGAACCACAATCCTTAATTTGGTGTTTGTCATTCCCATATATTTATTTATATTTTTTACTACATATGTATGAGTATTTGTTTGTATGTTTTTAGACTTTATATTAATATATTCTTCTGCCTGCAGTCTGCTTGTTTTTGTGAGCTTTATTCATATGAGTAGTTCTGGTTTATTCATTTTCACATGGCTTCTTCATTTCTCTTTCTAGGAACACCATAATGCGGGAGCTTGCCCCACAGTTCCAAATCCCGTGGTCCATCCCCACAGAGGCTGAGGACATTCCCATTGTTCCTACCACATCTGGCACTATGTAAGCAAAAGTAAAAAATCTGGAGTAACTTACCAAAGACACATGGGATTCCTTAAGCCAGACTAAAGGTTACTTCCTGACCCCATACTATCTGACCATCAGCGCCTGGGTCTCTTCTGCTCAGTCTTCTTAACTCCACTTATATTCCCTTTTTTTTTGAGACAGAGCCTTGCTCTGTTGCCCAGGCTGGAGTGCAGTGGCATGATCTCAGCTCACTGCAACCTCCACTTCCTGGGTTCAGGTGAGTACATCTGGCTAATTTTTGCCTTTTTAGCAGAGACAGGGTTTCACCATGTGACCAGGCTGGTCTTGAGCTCTTGGACTGAAGTGATCCACTCACCTCGGCCTTCCAAAGTGCTGGGATTACAGGTGTGAACCACCATGTCCAGCTTCCATATATATTCCTAATCTCAGTTCCCTTTTCCTCTGTTTTTTTTTTGTTGTTGTTTGGTTGGTTTTTGGTTTTGTTTTGTTTTTTTGTGACAGGGTCTGGCCGTCTCCCAGGCTGGAGTGCAATGTTGAGTTGTGGTTCACTGCAACCTGTACCTCCTGGACTCAAGTGATCCTCTCACCTCAGCCTCCTGAAGAGCTGGGACCACAGGCATATGCCACCATGCCTAGATAATTTTTTCTCTTTTAACTTTTTTATAGACACAGGCTCACGCTATGTTGCTCACACTCACCCTGTGCTTCTCCTGGACCTAAGTGATCCTCCCACCTCAGCCTTCCCAAATGTTGAGATCACAGGCGTGAACCCTGCCCAGCCCCTCTGTTTTTTGACATGTCAAGTAATGTGATGACAGGAGGTTAGATGGGGGCATGGGAGAAGCTCTGATCACATTTATGATCTTAGGATGGAACTTCGTTGTGTCATTGCAATTATTCGTCATGGAGATCGTACTCCCAAGCAGAAGATGAAGATGGAAGTGACACACTCAAGGTAGGAAGAGTATCCTAATTTACACAAATAGGTTTTTGTGAGGAAGATTGCATGGGGGAGCAACTCCTAGAGGGTTTGACTGTCTCATCCCACACTGAAGCTTCTCATTACTTCTTCAGGTTTTTTGCTCTATTTGAAAAACATGGTGGCTACAAGACAGGGAAATTGAAACTCAAGCGACCTGAGCAGCTCCAGGTAAAGTATTGAATCTGGCCAGGAGGAGCAGTGCTATGAAAGATAGAGGATATGGCATTGGGGGTCTTGATAAAAAACTAAGATGAAAAGGTAACTGTCCAGGATTTGGCCTTCTGCTAGATACCTTATTATTTCCTCTAGGAGGTACTGGACATCACAAGGCTGTTGTTGGCTGAACTGGAGAAAGAACCAGGTGGTGAGATCGAGGAGAAGACTGGAAAACTAGAGCAGCTGAAGTCTGTATTGGAGATGTGAGAAAGGGGATAGCTAAAGGGAGCCAATAACAGTGAGAATTGGGGTGCTGGTACAGAAAATCAACTGTGACTTTATCCTGCAGGTATGGTCACTTCTCAGGTATAAACCGGAAGGTGCAATTGACTTACTACCCTCATGGAGTAAAAGCTTCTAATGAGGGACAAGGTAAGATATAGTCCCCCTTACCATTACCTCTCAAATCTTGTATTCTTTTAATTTTTTTTCCATCTTCTCTCCTCACCAGATCCCTTTTACTTAAGCCTATAGATGACCTCTACCCTAAATTACCTTTCTGGTCTCCTTAGAAGACCTAACATTTAGAAATTTCCACTGTTTTTCTTAGATCTAGACCATTCACTGCCTTTTATTCTTCAGATCCACAAAGGGAGGCTCTGGCCCCATCTCTGTTGCTGGTACTGAAGTGGGGTGGAGAACTGACTCCTGCTGGCCGTGTTCAGGCTGAGGAGCTGGGGCGAGCTTTTCGCTGCATGTACCCTGGAGGACAGGGTGAGTGTTTTGAGGGGTAAACACTTAGCAGGTCTGGGATAAAATGATTAGAGAGTAAATTGGGGGAAATGAAGGGACAGAGACAGTGGGGAAATTAGTATTTTTTCTTCCACATGAATATTTATAGCAGTCCATTCCTGGTCCTCACCTTTGTCCCCAGGTGACTATGCTGGCTTCCCTGGTTGTGGGCTGCTTCGTCTCCATAGCACTTTCCGCCATGATCTCAAGATCTATGCCTCTGATGAGGGTCGTGTCCAGATGACTGCTGCTGCCTTTGCCAAGGTGCATACTACAGTGCTATAGTCCCAGCTTCCATTAGGTAGAGAAGCAGAGAGTTTGGAGAACCAGTTGAGGATTTCAGGGTGCTTGTAGGCCAACTCAGAGAAATTTCTGCATGTATCAGACCCATTCTGTACTACTGAGAATGAGCTGAAAATAATTAGTGAGGGTAGGCCCTATCTCTTCAACCAGCTCCCATTCAATCTCCGAATGGGACCATCTAGGCCTAGGAATACTAACCTGGAAGGGAAACAGATAGATTTTGTGCTTTCCCTTTAGGGCCTTCTGGCTCTAGAAGGGGAGCTGACACCCATTTTGGTACAAATGGTGAAGAGTGCCAACATGAATGGGCTCCTGGACAGCGATGGGGATTCCTTGAGCAGCTGCCAGCACCGGGTAAAGGCTCGGCTGCACCATATTTTACAGCAGGATGCACCCTTTGGCCCTGAGGACTACGATCAGGTCAGAGTCTAAAATATCCTGGGTCTCAAATTCCTTGAATTCTATATAGTAGGGATCTATATGCAGTAAATAATAGTATTTACTGCATGCCAGGCACTGTTTTAGTTGTTTTACACATATATCTCATTTAGTCCTTACAGTAGCCCTTTGAGGTAAGTACAGGGCCACAATCTCTAATCCACAATTTTAAAAATTAAAAAGATTTTTTTTGTTGACATTAAGATTTATTTGGCAGCTAAGCCTGACAAATACTGTCGTAAGATTTTTATAATCCTGATTTTTCCCACTTAGTGTAAATAGTCATGTATTTTGTGGCAGAAATATTAATGTGTTTGGTTATGCCATAGGCCCTGATGGAGATATTATATACCTATGGCATATGTACTGTATTCTAAAGTCCAAAAAATTCTCAGTTCCAAAGCACAGCTGATCCCAAGGATCCTGAACAAAAAAAGTTTCAGTTATCTATTGTTGCATAAGAAACTACCACAAAACATAGAAACCTAAAACAACCACCATTTTATTATCTCTCACAGTTCTGGGCTCAACTGATCTTGCTTGGAGTCTCTCCTGAAATTGCAGTCAGATATTGACTAGAGCTGGAACCATCTGGAAGTTCAGCTGGGATTGTGGGATGGCTGGCTCTGTCCCTCTTTATGTTCTCCCTGTAATCGCAGTGCCTCTCCTCTCCACATGGTTCTTCATACGGTTTCTATAGCATGATAGCTGGACAACGTATTAAATGGTAGCTTTAAGAATATGCGAAAGCAGAAGCTTAGAAGCTTTCTTAAAGTGTAGGCCCAGAATTAGCGCAACGTAACTTTGTTATTTTTTTATTGGTTAAGCAGTCACAGGGCCAGCCAGATTTAAGGGAAGGCAAGGAAGACAAAGAATTGATGGTCATCTTTAAACCACTATCAGGACTGCAGACCACAAGGACTTTCCTTTCATTTTACAAATGAGGAAACCTAGGCTCAGAAGAATCTAAGCAATTTTCCTGGGTCATCCAGCTAATATGAAGCCAAGGAGTCTAACTCCAAAGCCTAGGCTGTTACATTGCCTTACAGCATTAATCCTAGTATATGCCATTTCCCAATATGGTCATTCTTTTTCCTGTGTATTCAGGCTACAATTGACCAGGCAGTGGTTTTCTATCCTTCCCACTCCTCATTTCTGATAGGTTCTTTTAAAAAATGTTTAAAAATTTAAAATTGTGGTACCACTTTAACCATTTTTAAGTGTACAGTTCAGTAGCATTACATGCATTTACATTGTTGTGTAATATTTCTGATTGGTTCTTAAATGAGCTAAGTAGCTATGAGCCCATAGCATTTCTGTGTTTCTCTGTTTCCCTTCCATTTTCAAGTCTGAGTAGGACTTGATAAGGAACAGGACTTTGCTCCTTTATTTTCGAATCCGTTGCTCACTGTCAAACTCAAAAAAGCTAAGGCAGTTTTCCTTTTCTGCCTTGCCTTCTTTTGCGAGCGAAAATGAAACTTGCGAGGACCTACGTAGAATTGTGCATTTCAGCCGCAATCTTTATTCTCTCTCCCCATTTCTCATTGATTGTGACTGTCCTAAAAGCCTGAGTTGGAACCCAGTTCTGAGACAGCATTTCTACTCTATGCTCAGGCTAGCTTGTTGTTTAGAGGAAGAAGATAATGTTATCTCTGATCTCTACTCCTGAAAACATTCTGTGGAGATTTTGAGGGATTTTGGTTTAATTATTCTGCAGTATTTTCCATGTGTATTCTAGAGCCCCCAAGAAAAGAACTTAGGACTATTTTATTTTCTCTGGACCTTTTAATTCAATCCCTCTTACATGACTATGTGCTAGAGCAGCCCCCTTACCTGAAGGCCTAGAACTGCTAGTATGCCCAGTAACCTAGGAATGCTCACTGGAGTGAATTAACATACAGATCTGTATTGCAGGCAGTCTCTGTGTAATACGCTCACAGGAAATCTGGACAATTAGTGCTGAGCCTATCTTGCTTTTCTTCTCTCTATTCTTCATAGCTGGCTCCCACCAGAAGTACTTCCCTGCTCAACTCCATGACTATCATCCAGAATCCTGTGAAGGTCTGTGATCAGGTATTTGCCCTGATCGAACACCTCACACACCAGATCCGAGAACGAATGCAGGACCCCAGGTCTGTAGGTGGGTGTGAATACTACTATCTTCCCTTCAAGGTCTCAGGTATGGATGGGTTTCTCAGGCGTTCTTGTGTCATCTCCTAAATGTCAGAGACCAGGCCTCCTCATCCCTCTGGTTCTGCTTCAGAGTTGTCAGGGTCTTTTGTTTGAGGTAAAATCTTGACTCTTACCTGATTGCTGCCTTTCTTCCAGACCTGCAACTCTACCACAGTGAAACACTAGAACTAATGCTACAGCGTTGGAGCAAGCTGGAGCGTGACTTTCGACAGAAGAGTGGGCGCTATGATATCAGTAAAATCCCTGACATCTATGACTGTGTCAAGTATGATGTGCAGCACAATGGGAGTCTGGGACTTCAAGGCACAGCAGAGTTGCTCCGTCTCTCTAAGGCATTGGCTGATGTGGTCATTCCCCAGGTGTGTCTTGTATAAGGGACTTAACCTGGGGATAAGGTGTTGGGGAAGGAAAGAGAGAAAAGGTGGAAAGGAAGGTTGATTTGGGACTAGAGGAAAGAATCTTAGAGAAGATATAAGTTGAGTTGCTACGTTTCTCAGGGTCCATTCTAACTCTTGGTAAGTACAGGAGGCTAATTCAGGAGACACCTGGAAGAGGGGGAATATAGTGGATATGAAAGAAGCCTAGACCTGAGGTGATGACAGGCATGATCTTGGTCCTGGGAATATGAGGCATGAGAAAACAAGATTTACTGAGGTATTTATTCCTGGCCTATGGCTCCTAGGAGTACGGGATCAGTCGGGAAGAGAAACTGGAAATTGCTGTGGGCTTCTGTCTTCCATTGTTGCGGAAGATACTACTTGACCTGCAGAGAACCCACGAAGATGAGTCTGTCAACAAGCTGCATCCCCTGTGAGGGAGGGCTGGGAGGGGTGCTGGGTGGAGGGAGGGGTATGTCAGGAAGCCTTGGGGAAATCAAGCCTCCGACAGCTTGGGGAACCAAGAATAGACAAGATTTTGGGATGGAAAGGAGAGAAGTCTTTGAGGTGGGAGGAGGGGGTTTGCAGAAGGGTGGGAAGAGGGTTAACTGACTGTGTGAGTGATTTAACTATTATCTTAGGTACTCCCGAGGTGTGCTCTCCCCAGGTCGCCATGTTCGAACACGTCTCTATTTCACCAGTGAGAGCCATGTCCACTCCCTACTCAGTGTCTTCCGTTATGGGGGTCTTCTTGATGTAAGGATCCTCTTTCTTCCTTAGCCTGTGAACAGCTTTTTCCCAGCATTGTTTTGCTCTTCTCCTCATGCTTTTTTAATGAAAGCTCTCTCCATTCTCATTGGCCTCCTGCTTATTCCCTGACTCCCTTGTCATTAAGCAATGGCTTACTTGTTTTTGCATTTGGTAGGAGACCCAGGATGCACAATGGCAGCGAGCTTTGGATTATCTTAGTGCCATCTCAGAGCTTAACTACATGACCCAGATTGTCATCATGCTTTATGAGGACAACACACAGGTGAGGAGATGAGAGGAACACCCCTTCTTTTTACCTCTATTAAAAATAAAACAAAACAGAAAAAACCTCGCTTATCCTTATAATTTGGAGAATTGAGCTAGGTGTGGCACTTAGGAACAGCATGATGCAGAGCATCCAGGAGGTTCCTACTGGAATGGAAAATATTTTCTGGGATGGTGTTGAGCAGAGAGATAATCTAGAACATAGCTCTGGCATTAGGAAGAGTATGGAATTTAGGACAATGTTATGAGTCTTATTTCCTTAAACACGGTATACATGTATCTTCCACATATGGCTCCACAATGATACCTTTTTTTTTTTTTTTGAGACAAGGTCTCACTCCATCACCCAGGCTGGAGTGCAGTGCAGCAGTCTGAGCTCACTGCAACCTTACAACCTCTGTCTCCTGGGCTCAAGTGATCCTCTAACCTCAGCCTCCTGACTAGCTGGGATAACAGGCATATGTGCAGCTAATTTTTTTTATTTTTTGTAGAGATGGGGTCTCAACATGTTGCCCAGGCTGGTCTCAAACTCCTGGACTCAAGTGATTCGCCTGCCCCAGCCTCCCAAAGTGTTAGAATTACAGGCATGAGCCACTGCTCCCGGCCCATAAGATATCTTTAAGTGTTCTGCTATATGCACCATAGCCAAGCTGAGTTATCGTGGAAGGTGATGGGAAGGGTTGTAAGGCTGGAAGTTCAAAAGTCACATGCCATGGCAAAATCACAAATGGTAGAGATGAGGGAATGAGGATCATGTAAGAGATAATATATAGTTAAAAGGAAGCTATAACAGGTCAGCCCTAGAGTAGTTCAAGACCCTGAATTCCTGGGAGGATGAATCCTCTTGAGTTCCTCTCTACTTCCACCACAAGCTTCTCCAAACTTCCCCCTCTTGTGGTGATGCCCCGTAGGATCCCTTATCAGAGGAACGGTTCCATGTGGAGCTACACTTCAGCCCTGGAGTGAAAGGTGTTGAGGAAGAAGGCAGTGCCCCAGCTGGCTGTGGATTCCGTCCAGCCTCTTCTGAGGTGGGTCAGAGTGCTGGGATTTGGGACTCAAGGACTTAGGAACCAAGTGGTGGGAAACGGTACAGGGAAAAGTAAAAAGGTTGGGTAGTTTGGGAATAGGAGCCTGGAGATCATTAACACCTCTCTTATCTGCCTTCATGTTGTATAGAATGAGGAGATGAAAACCAACCAAGGCAGTATGGAGAACCTGTGCCCAGGAAAGGCATCAGATGAGCCAGACCGGGCACTGCAGACTTCACCCCAGCCTCCTGAGGGCCCTGGCCTCCCAAGGAGATCACCCCTCATTCGTAACCGAAAAGCTGGTTCCATGGAGGTAATGAGAGGACCTTGGGGAAAAATGAAGGGGTGAAAGTGCTCATAGGACTATATTCATGGATCCTCTAGGTCCCCTTGGTGGGGACTCTTGGAACTTGAAGCAGAGTCCTCCTGCTCTGATTGATGTTTTACTTAATCTCTCTTTCACAGCTGGTCTCCCAATAGAGTTTCTTTAACCTGGTTGTTACTTCTCAGATTAAAGAGTTGCCATTGAAAAGTGTCTGAGAGATAAGGGTTTAAAGAGATAAGATTAAAGAGGAGGCTTCTGGATGAATTTGAAAAGGTGTGTTCTTTAAGAGGAAATCTAGTAGAAACAGCATAAACTCTGGGCCAAAATCCCAGTCTGATACTTGGAAGCTGTGTGACTTTGGCTGGGTAACTTCTCTACACTTCTCTGGCCTTAACTTCTGTAAACCTCAATTTTTTTAACCTGTAAAATGTGAGTAGTATCGCCCTTATGGATGCTCAACAAACAGTAATATAATAACAATACAATTGATATTAAATTGGCCCTCTCCAGCTGTTTGTCACCTTGGGTAAACATTATAGCTCAGAGAGGAGCAAATACGTGGCACTTTAGCTGTACTGTTGTTCCAGAAAGTGGGTCAGTCTAGAGCTCTGTCTGTCTTTTGTTCTAATGAGGATCTTTGTCAGCATGGGCCTGTGTTTTGTTGTTTTTGGAGTTTGTCTCTAGTTCTCGTCCTAGTTCTCTAGCTTAGAGGAAGGAAGTGTTATTAATCTCATATCATGTCCAGCTAACCAGCTGAAGTTTTTGTTTTGGTCTTTTTCCTGGAAGAACTGTTTCTGTCTTTGGCCCAATTACATCCCTTTTTTTCCCCCCCATCCAATTCCTTCTGTATCACTTTCATTCTTGTTGACACCACAATTTATCCCTGTTTCAGAGACTTTGACTGTCTGATTTGGATTCTACTCTGACCTGAGGACTCTGGTCACCTGGCTCTGTGCCAGGTCTCTATCCTAGAGGAATTGGTCTTTCCATTTTAGGGATATATCAGAACAATCTATAACTAGCTTATCTAGTTCAGCAAAAGGTTTGCAATTCAGATTTTGGAGAAAGCTGAGAAGATAAACTGCAGTCTCTTCTTTTGATTCACTCTTTACTTCTGGATTATTTTAAGGTGAAATTGACATTGCTAATATACAGAGTTTCTTTAGGTAGGATATGCATTATTTTCTCCTTGTGGTGTAGGTATAAGTTGGTATCTGTAGTACTCTATTACCCTTTATACTCATATACTCATATGGATAGAATGACACATAATCTTCCATCTGTAAACTGTTCCTCCAAATGTCTTTCCCAATCACATGGTCTGCTAGTCTCTCCTAGGTCTGTTGTGCTTGAAGCCCCTTTTTCTGGTTTATGCAGTCATAAGACATAGGCATCTGGGTATGGTGGATCACACCTGTAATCCCAACACTTTAGGAGGCCTAAGTGGGAGGAGGCCAAGAGTTCGAAACCAGCCTGGACAAGATCCTGTCTCTACAAAAATTTTTTAAAAATTTAAAAAAGGAAGGCACAGACAAGGGAAAGCTCTCTGTGTATCATCTCTCAGACTTGATAAGATTGACTTCTTTCTTTTAGGTCTATAGGAATTTTCCTATTGTAATCACATTCCTTCTTTTCAGTTACTAGTGCTGCTTAGACTTTGGCTTATCCAGGGTGGTAGTTGTCCAGGATATTTTCCTCAGCTTTTTAAGAAAATCATCTCTCTGCTCCTTGGTCACAAAGCCTTATAGTACTAATGTTAATATTTCTCTTTCTTGCTCTATAAATATAGGCATTGGGCTGTCTTATCCTTATCAACTACATCCTTCCCCCATCCCTTCTTTTCTCTTGTCATCTCATATTTTTTAACTATTTTAGATTATAAAACCCATGACGTTCATAGCATCTATACCCTAGCTGGTCATCCTCTCTAGCCCTGTAATTAGCTCTGCCCTATGGGCACAGGGGCTTTTGGGAGCCTGGGGTTTAAAGGAGCCGTGACCGGCTTTTCACCCGGTCTGATTGCAGGTCATGAACATGCAGTGCACGGGGAACCTGGACCTGATCCCCTTGCGGGGACGGCGCCGCAGGAGGTCAGGAGACCTCCCCCGGCCTTCCCCAGCCATCGGCCTGCAGCCCTGGGCTGTGTCCACCACTCACCTGGCGTCCTGCACACAGGTGTCCCTCCCTACCTCACCCTCTTGTTTTGCTTTTTGGGATCTAGAAACTCAGACACTATCTAGGTTGGGATGAGTGTGTGTTGGGAGTTGTGTGATTGGGCCCTTGTGGGCATTTTAAGAATTGTATTTCATGTTTCTAGGAGTGAGATAGTTGGAGGGGAGGGATTCCTTCTTGGTTCAAATAAGAAATGTAGTATAGTATGTAGTATGGTTACAGTAGCCTCAACTGTTCCACAGAAAGAAGAGAGGGTGGCCAGACTTTCTTATTTGTGGCTGAGCCATTGTGATTGGCTTTCTGAGTCTGGTTGGGGGATAGACACAATTAGGAAACTCCACTCTATTGATAACTAGGAATGGTTGAATAATTATTTCTCAAACTCAGATTGGGAATGGGAGGGCTGTGGGGACAGGTATCTTGAAAATAGAAGTGTTTTCTAGTATAGAAGGATTCCCTGACAGTTCCCTCCATAAAGTATATTCTCTATTCCCTTTTCATCCCTCTTCCCCTATACATCTTTTGGTTCTTCCAAACTTTCTGACATTGCTTGGCTTTATAGGGGCAAGAATTCAGGACCTGGGCTTTATACTTCTGGGTTGAGGTGGCAAAATGATTAATATAGAGTCCTTTTTCTGCAGGTACTTTCTGAGACTTCATCCTCAAGGCCTGGTGGCTACCGGCTCTTTTCAGCTTCACGGCCACCCACAGAAATGAAGCAGAGTGGCCTAGGTATGTTTTTTCCCAGCATTTCTCATCTATTTTTGGAAAAATCGTCTTTCTGTTCTTCAGAGTTTTATTGTGGGAAACCTTTGTCATGGGATTTGGGACCATCCAGTCAGTGGAATATCGGCGGGGCGGGGGGTGGGTAGGGAGGATGAAGTGGGATCATCCATAGTTAGGTGTGAACTTGGATCTCAGATAATTGTTCCATCCCAGGAAGGTGTTTATCTCTTGGTTTTCTATACCAACGACATTTTCCTGGTCAAAGGGCATTTTTTTGGCTTTCCCTCTCATTCCTTATCTGTCCCTTCAGTCTAGCCCAGACCTTAAGGGGCCATGGAGACTCTGAACCTTCAGAGTTATCAGGGACAGAGCTATAAACGGAGGTACTTGCAACCTTCATAAATATCATATTCCTCATTTGAAGAATTGTGCCATGTCTTCCCCTGAAACCTGTGTTTTTCACATCCCTGCTCTTGCCCTTCCTACCACCTTGTCCTTTCCTCCATCATCTCCTAATCCTGTAACTTTTTCCCCTTCCTTCTGAGACTGGTGTAGTGGCAGAGGCATCTCTCAGGACTTTGAGGAAATATCTCTTGATTTTTTGATCCCTGGAAAGGGGTAGAGAACATCATTCAGCATTTGATAAGAACACAGACAGCAGGAAGGACCAAGCCTCAGAGGGTATTGTATTCTTTGGGTGGAGGGGGGCGGTCCTTGGGAGGAGCTATCTCTGAGCACAGTGCCTTGTGAGCCAGCAACTAGAACTGGAGGTCAGAGATGATTGTGTGGGGTCTGGACTTGGTCCCCCGGCTCTTTGTATCTTGTCCTATTATTCTATTTAGCACCTCTAATTTTTCTGTTGCCTTTGTCCTTGGGACCCAATTTCTTGGCCCCAAAATGATCAGGTTTTGGACCAGCAAGGGGAAGAGAGGTTTTGTTAACTTCCCAGGCTAATTTTATGAGAACAAGTTGCCTTCTAGATTCCTGAAATGAGGAAGATGGTTTGGGTCATGAGAAATAAATGACAAATGTGTAGATCCGGCCAGGTGCAGCAGCTATAATCCCAGCACTTTGGGAGGCCAAGGCAGGCAGATCACTTGAGTGAGGTCAGGAGTTCGAGACTAGCCTGGCCAACATGGTGAAACCGCATCTCTACTACAAATACAAAAATTGGCCAACACGGTGGTACATGCCTTATAATGCCAGCTACGTGGGAGGTTGAGGCACGAGAATTGCTTGAACGCGGAAGATGGAGTATGCAGTGAGCTGAGATTGCGCCACTGTATTCCAGCCTAGGTGAGACTCTCCCTAAAAAAAAAAAAAAAAGTAGTCTAGATCCGTGACATGGACCTGTCTTCCCAGAAGTCCCAGTAAAGAATAGGTTTCAGATAGACTAGAAACGAGGATAGGTGTGTCTAGGTATCAGATAGACTAGAAATGAGGATAGGTGTGTCTGGCCCAGTTAAGTGGGCCATGGGAATGCTTTCAAGAACAAGGCAGAATTATGGACATGGAACTGGTTGACAGATGGTAGTGGTAAGGTAGAGACCACCCTCTGAGGTGATCTGAGGACTGGGCAGAGCAGAGTTGGCACGACTGCACCAGAAAAGTATTCAGTGGAGGAAGTGTATGTAGGACAAAGCTTGGGGTGGTCTGGGATACAGCCAGCTAGTTTTAGCTTCTCTGAAGAAAAGCAGTCATATTTAGCAACTGTTATTAATCTCTGGAATCTCATTCCAGAGCCTGTTTGAGCATGAAAGGTAGAGGAAGTTGCTTTATAGAGGAGAGGACCTGAATTCCAACATGGAAATCATCAGCTATCTGAACTTCCTGATTGCTCTGGTGACCCTGAAATCCTGGGACCCCGAAACCATGGTCCTTTCTTTGTGGTCTCAAGGAGAATTGACCTCCTTTACACTCTATCCATTTGCTCTATGAATGTTAAGTCCCAGACCAAACCCAGGGTCTTGGCTAAGATGGATTTGGAAGTAGAGGGGCAAATCCAGAGAACTTGGGTGTCAGTCTTGTTTATTCTTTATTCTTGGCCACTCTGTCCTTATAGGCTGTAGTAGGAAAAGGGACCATGGAGTCCTAACCCTCCTCTAGATCAGCTGTTGGGGACAGCGACTGGTATGATTTATTTCCTTCAGAGATTATTCAAATTTTATTTAATCCTTTCATTGGCAATGGAGTTCTTTTTGCTTTCTTTGAATTTATATGTATGGGGAACTGGCTTTGAACATAGGCTGACAAGACGACAAGCAGAAAAAACATGTCTTTTTGTTGTTGTTTCCTGTATTCCTTCTTAGTAGGTGCTCATCACATAATAGGCATGCTCTACATATAATCAACTTACTCTTCACATGCCCTTCAATTTGCATCCATCTTGACTTCAGAAACTGTGCTGGTTCCTAAAAAATAGTTATTTACTTTCTAACAATACAGTTGGTCCTCAGAGTCAGGAAACCTGGATTCTACTCCAGCTTAGCCTCTAACAGACTGTGTGACCTTGAGTAAAGGAGGTCCCTTTTGGATCTCAGTTTCTTCATCTCTAAAATAAGAAAGTTGGACTGCATGATCTGAGTCCCTTCTAGCTTAAAAATTTCAATGAGGTAGAGGGCTGTGGCTCACGCCTATAATCCCAGCACTATGGGAGGCCAAGGTGGGAGGATCAATTGAACTCAGGAGTTAGAGACCAACCTGGGCAACATAGTGAGACCTCGTTTCTACTAAAAATAAAAAAAAATTGTCCAGGCATGGTAGTGTGCACTTGTGATCCAAGCTACTCGGGAGGCTGAGGTGAGAGGATCACTTGAGCCTGGGAGATCAAGGTTGCAATGAGCTATGATTGTGCTACTACACTCCAGCCTGGGCAACAGAGTGAGACTCTGTCTAAAAAAAAAAAAAAAAAAAAACTGTGAGTCTTATACTTTCATTCTTGGGAAAGGTAAAAAGGCCTGAAGGGAAGGGATGTTGGATGAATAACTTAGGAAGGATTGGAAGGGTGCCAGGTGAGTGCTCAGAACCCAGTCTCTAGTTTCAGTCAAAGCCTTTTCCTTTCAAATCTACAAGGACTAGATTTCTGTGTTTCTCAAGCCATATATCCAGGGTAAGGGGTGCTGAATTAAATCTAGGGGGAATCTAGAGGGAGCTATTATTTTAACATTTCTGAGAGTCACCTGGAGAGCAGTCTATCCCTTTCAGTAGCTTTGAATCCCCTAATATGACTAACCCTGTATTTGTAGTGGCCTCTTGTCTCTGCCATGTAGCTCTTCAGAAGAATCCCCCTTTTGCTTGCCCACTGTGACTATGGACAAGTATAAAGCCATTTGTGGTTATGTGGAATAGCCACATGGTGGTGGCTGTGAATGGCTGTGTGTGTGTCTTGATGTTATCATGTGAAGTTGTGTATACTTCTGTATGATAGTTGCAGCTTTATGTGGCTACTAATGCCCTCCCGGCCTTGCAGGCTCACAGTGCACAGGGCTGTTCAGCACCACAGTGCTGGGTGGCTCCTCCAGCGCCCCGAATCTTCAGGACTACGCCCGCAGCCATGGCAAAAAGCTACCACCTGCCAGTCTGAAGCACCGAGATGGTATGTGGGTGGGTTTTGGGGGATAACTGCTTTCTTCACTTGTCTCTCAGCAAGGACGTAGCTCAAGAACTATTCATGCTTAAAGATGACACTGACCTTATAACAAGTTTTCTTCATCAGTAATAGATGAGAGAAGGAACCAGGACCCCTTCCATCCCTCCATTTGCATTCCCTCTTGCCATAAAAATACTACTTATTTATGCTTATCCCTTCATAATCTCCCACATACAGTTCTGCTGCATCAGTTTGTACTCTTTACTGGATTCTGGCCTGTAGGGGTAAGGACCAAAGAGGATGATGCATGGTTAGGAAGAATGTAGTGGAACCTCAATTAAAACCAGGAAATTGGGTTTAGGGAAGGGAATATTGCTCAGCTAAGGCAGAAAAGATAATATGGAAAGAGTCTGGGGGAAGGGATGAATATTTCTATGAAGATTTTATTTCTGAATGACCAGAAAGAGGACATAGTAGTAAAATTAGGGTTGTTTGTAGAAATGTATTGTGGTAGAGATGACTACATAGATTCCTAGGAGATTACCAAAGGAAAAGAGATTGACGTGTTAGTTAGAAATCCAAGGGGTCGGGAGGGGAGCAGATCAGATAAATAACTTTAAAGAACAGAATATCTTGCGGGCAAACTCCAGAGCAGAGGGTGGGGACAAGGGTGGGTATAATCCCCATGATGTCTTTTCTCCCCAGAGCTCTTGTTTGTCCCGGCCGTAAAACGATTTTCTGTGTCGTTTGCAAAGCATCCGACTAACGGTACGTTTGCTTCTGACTCAATGTCATTCCTCCTCACCATGTCACCTGTAGACACTTAACTGAGTTTTGACACTGACTTTGCCTCTCCTTCCACTGTGTTGATACCCTGCTGTCTCTGAATGAGCCACTCACTAAGTGTCCCTCCTGGGATGGTTTCCTTGTGACAGCCTTAGTCTTGGCTGTAGCCTGGCTGCCCCATCCCTGTGGCAACTCAGGGTCTTACTTCCATAATCACCATCATCACCATTATGTTGCTTTTGTCAGCATCACCACCAAAACACTGATTAAACCTCTCCCTTTCCTATCACATGACTGCCAGGCTGTGTACAGATATGATGGTTCCCCTTCTTAGGATGGAAATAATGTTTCCTAGATTGATTCCATTTCTTTTCTTCCCTCATACCCCTAACTCCTCAGCTTATATAATTTTGATCTTTGTGGTTTTTCTCCAACTCTTTTGTTGGGGTGGATGTGGATGACTAGTTTGTTCCTCTTTGGAGCAATGCTGCAATTCCCAGCTCCTAAGTCTACTTATAAGGGTGTTGGTCTTGAGTATACAGTTTCCCATCTCCATATTTATTTCTCCTGCCATTGTGTGTATTTTATGTGGCTCTTGTGCTCCTGACATTTGCTTTATGTTACTACTAACCTAGTGCCTGGGCCTCAAAAACAAGAGCCCAGGTTGCTTTGGGATACAAGAATAAAAAGAAAGGAGTAGGAGGTAGTAGGTAAAAGAAAAAGGACTGTACCTTGAGTTTTTAAAATGTAGTTTCCATGTGGCATCAGCCTACCTATGGTAAAGCTATCGCAGAGAAGCTTGAAGAGTTGAGATGTCTGCTGGGGATGCTGGGGGAGCTTAGGAATGAATAATATTTTAAGAACATTGAAGAACTGGGTCTGCCCACACTAAGGTGGGAGAGTTTGGAGATCTCTATAAAGCATGAACTGAAGGGTATGGTCACTTTGTAGGGTATTGCAGGAGAACCCAGGCTCACTCTCTTTCAAAGTTTTATCCTTGGTATCCTTAGTTGTTTTCTCTCTATATTGTATTTTGTCTTCAAGGCAAATCTAGGTTTTTTTTTAGAGAGAGTTTTCTTCTATTCAAGAGCTAAGACTCTCTGAGGGAAGTAAAATTAGGCTGGCTTCCTGACTAGAAAACCTCTATGTGCTAATCTCCTATTGTCTAGCAAGTGGCAGCTGCTAGATTTTAGCCCAGTCAGGTTGTACATCTCATAAGGCACTGCTCAAATCTCTCCCTAGGTTGACCAGTCTACGCTGGCTCAGTTTATCTCTGCCCCCAGGCTCCCATTTGTGCCTGTGGCAGGAGTCCCCTTTCAGAGCATCATGGGTGTGCCTGTTCATTTAGCTTCAAGCTCTTTTGGCCTTCATGTGCCACAGCCATCTCGAGAATACAACCTGATGCATCAGTAGCACAGCCTGGAACTTGGACTTAGAGTCCACAGTATAGTATGAGGAATGTGGGCTCCTGAAATCCGAGCAAATCACATATCTCCTAGTTCTTAGGTGCCATAAGAAAAGACCCAAATCCATAAAACAGATCTTCAGACCCATATATCTCCAGTTCCCTGAAGCCTTGTTTAGCAGCCTCATCTGCTGAAGAAGAATTAATTCTGCCAAAAGGAGGAGAGAAAAAAATTACCTGGAAAATGCAGGTATTGTGCAGGAAAACAAATTTAAGATCTCCAGTACCCTGCATACTTCCTCGGGGGTCTTCTGGCCTCCTTTGTTTTGCTTATGCTGGAGCTTGGAGGCTAACATGCTTAATAAGCAAGAATCTGGGCTCTACCTATTGACAACAGGAGAAATTTGGAGTTGTATGTCACTTGCTAAGGAAGATTATCTAGATTCAGTTTGACCCTCAAGAAATATGAAGGCACTCCTCCATGGCCAAGATCTTGCTTGACTGACCAGCAATTACAAAGTGGATGTTTTGTCTGTAGTTGCTTTTGGCAGATTAGTCAAGCAGGTCCATCATCACCATCTCCTTGCCATGATATTTGGCTATGAAACAGCAGCTGGAAATACTGGACCTGGCTTTGGAAAGGAGGCAAGGCAGTGTGTCTCCACACTTTGATGAGAGAGCAGCCCTCCTCCTATCCCTGCCTCTGTTCTGATGAGCTGTGACTATATCCAGCACACCAGTATAGCCTGTTACTAAACTGCACGTTGAACTCACCAAAGTAAATTAGCAAAGCGGTAAAGACTGTGGCTCACCCTTATCCAGAATGTCAGTGTGTGCCCACTAGATTTGTCAAACCCATTATCTTTTAGGAACCCATATAACTTTGTGACCATTGGTACATACAGTTAGTACTCTGAAGACTAGCTTAGGTACAGCTGAAGTCTCTCCTGACATCCAAGCTAAGGTCTCTGACGACCACATGGGATCACCTTGTGAAGCCACTTCTGGAGTTTGGAGCAGTCATCCTCAGCTGCCTTGATTCTACCTTCTCTATACCAACATCCTGTACTCAAGTTCTTGTCCATCCTCACATCATGTTTTAAGATCCCATAACTTTTCTGTAAGATCTTTCTCTGTTGTTCCTCTTATAGCCCTCTCCACATGGCTTTGGCTGCCTTCAACCTTTTGTAGCTGAATTACATGCTTCCACAAAGTTTGCCAAGTAGCTAAAATGAGGGGTTCAGAATCAAAGCTTTTTTACTCACCAGCTGAAAAAAGTACAGTTAGACTCACCAGCAGTGGGAAGAAAATATAAAATTATCTAACTTTCAGCTTCTGTAATGGATATCGTACCTCCTAAGTCCTAAGTTTTATGTATACTTTTTAAAAACTAATTGTTTAAACAAGAGTAAGGTAAAGGATGGTTAGTCAATGTTGGTATTTTCACATATTGATTCCATTTTTTTACACGTACCCTTTTAAAGGAGTTCTACACCTGGTTTCCTGCCAGTCTCCTGTGCTATCTGCCTAATACCATCCCTGTCTTTGGCTATCCTAGAGTCTGGTCCAGAAGGCCTGCCCTTAAAAAGAGCCTTTTTAGCTTGACTGTCTTTTTTAAAATTATTATTTTTAATTTTTTTATTTTTTATTTCTTTCTTTTCTCTTAGCTTGACTATCCTGATACTCAATATCATTCTTGACACTTTTCTCTGAGTGACTGAACTTTTCCTTTTTATCCCTACTTCATAAATCCATTCACCTGAGAATGCAGGCCCTAAGTAGGGTTTATCCAGTGATGAGGAATCCTGAAGCTGTAGTCAAGGCTCCCAGCCACAAAGCTGCCAGCTCACCCCTGTCCACAATGATGTGACTGCTGTCTACAAGCACCGACTAAATTATGCTCAAGGAGGAAGGGGAGGGCATTGCTATACGATGAGGTCTCACTATCCCTTCTTTCAGACTCATTGTGTGATGACACTACTCTTCTTCCCTGCAAGAGATGCCCAGTGGCTCTGACCATCTCTGCTTCTCTCTTAGCTGACCTTGGATCTGAGTGCCCCCACCTCCCAGTAATGCTTGTGCTAGTCAGTGCCCCCCTCATTGTCTCTCCCTCTTCTTTTTCTCTATCTTTGTGCTTCCTGCCGTGGTCCCCTCACCCCCTCCAGAGCTGCTGGATGACCAGCACCCTGTGGTCCGGTTGCTGCGCAGTTTTTCCTCTGACTGTACAGGGGGCCGGCCAGTCTCCTTGGATGCCACGCTGGCGCATCACCTGCACCAGTGCTCCTACCACCTGCGCCTCTTCCGGAACTGGCTGCGCTCAGGCCAGGATGACCCCGAGTGCCTCTACGGTACCCCCTGCCACCAAGCTGGCTGCTGCCACTACCCTGGCTGGGACTGACTGCTTTGCTTATTGCACTTCTGGCAGGAGAGCCCACCTGTTTCTTTCTCCTATTTGCCTTAAGGTTATGTAACTTGCGTTTAGTTGCTTGGATGGGATTGGGGCTGGACTGCCTGGTAGCTGTAGCATTGGCTGCTCATCCCCTTCCTATTCTCCTTTCTCACCACCCCCTAATGTTACTCATTCCCCAATTCTGTTCAATACAGGAGTAATCTCTTGCCTTGGAATCTGTTCTTACCACTCTAACCCTCTACTACCACCATCTCCAAGTCCAAATGTTTTTCTAGCCACCCTGAGGAGCTAGAGACAATATCTCTCCTGCCCTCCTCCCACTAGATCTCAGGGGAAATTGAGGCACAGAGGCCTCAATTGTATCCTTGGGGCAAACAAAGGCCAAAAGTTAGAAAATGGTCAAGTATAATCCTTTTGAGTTACGGGTTTTAGTCACTGGTGAACAGGAGGCTATCTTGCATAGACATTGTTGTCCCGCCTACCCTTAGTCCTTTTAAGGAGATGTTGAGGAGGCATAGGAAAGATTGGGGACTGAGAAAGTGGTTGGAATGTGTGTTTCTTGATCCTCCAATGGGGACATTTTTTTCCATCACCAGTCCCTAGTATTCAGGTTACATATTTATGTTTACCCTTGACCCTACCCAGATTGATAGACCTACATTGGAATTCTTGGGTTTAGAGCAGAGAATCAGCAGAAAGATCCTAGCAAGTCTGGGGTTTTCTAGTAGATCAGAAGGGTGAAGCTTTGCTGTGATGGAAATTACCAAGAAAGAACTTCCATCCCCATCCTGTTCATGCATGTGGTTTTCCTGGGCTGAGCTTCATGTGTATTGCATGTCCTCCAGTTTGCATCCAAGTATTCTAGCCTTTCTACCCATATCCTAAATTTGCATGAACTCCTTCTCAGATTTCATGTCCTTCTCCTTAATCTGGTTCTCTTATTCATGATACCCAAAATCTGCTGTTTCTTCCCAGCTCCCTATCTCATGTTAGATCTGCAGTTTCACTCCTTATCTCTGGATCCTTGTTTTATTCCTCCAGAAAGTATGAGAGCAATGTTGGTGCTTACCCTACTGGGATTCTGTTGATTTTTCCATGGAACATTGCAGGCTCTCCATAGGTAGCATGAGAGGTGATTTGATTCACCTGGAGACCTTAGCAGGTAGATGTTTTAGGAAATCTGGAGGTGAGAAAAACAGACTCCCCTAGGGGCTCTAAAGAGTTCCCTCTCCTAAGAGTCTTGGATACCCCACACTCCAAAAGCCACGGACTCTCCTGATGGCTCTCAGGGACTCTCCATGCTTCCTTGGCCATTTGGGGTATATCTGGCAGGAATAACATTGACTTTGCCCATCTCTTTTCAAACAGGATTTGAAGGGTGTTCCATGGTGCCTACCATCTACCCTCTGGAAACACTGCATAATGCCCTTTCCCTACGTCAAGTGAGTGAATTCTTGAGTAGGGTCTGCCAGCGCCACACTGATACCCAGGCACAGGCATCTGCAGGTATGGATATTTTTATTTTGTACCTTTCTCTCTTTTCCTATTCCCATGTTTCCTAGAATATAAGAAAGTAATAAATTAAAAAGCTAGTTAGGCAGCCCACAAAGACACAAAAATACACTTAAAATATATAATTGCTGGCCAGATGCGGTGGCTCATGCCTATTATCCCAGCACTTTGGGACGCCAAGGCAGATGGATCACCTAAGGTCAGGAGTTTGAGACCAGCCTGGCCAACATGGTGAAACCCTGTTTCTACTGAAAAAAAAAATTACAACAATGAGCTGAGCATGGTGGTGTGTTTCTATAGTTCCAGCCATTTGGGAGGCTAAGGTGGGAGAATTGCTTGAGCCCAGGAGGCAGACGTTGCAGTGAGCCAAGATTGTGCCACTGCACTCCAGCCTGGGTGACAGAGACTCCATCTCAAAAAAAAAAGAAAAGGATAATTGCATAGGCCAACTAAACATCATAAAAATATCACTCCTTTCTAAGGTAATTAATTTAACATGATACCAATAAAAATATGGTTTTTCTAAAATCAAACATATCAGTTCTGAAATTTTCATTGAAAAACAAGCAAGAACAGTGAAGAATGAGCTGGATGTAGTGGCTCACGTTTATAATCCCAGTGATTCGGGAGGCTGAGGCAAGAGGATTATTGAGGCCAGGAGTTCAAGACTAGCCTGTGCAACATAGTGAGATCCCCCCCATCTCTCCAGAAAATAAAACAAAAGCTAGGCATTGTGGTATGTGCCTATAGTCTCATCTACTTGGTATGTTGAAGTAGGAGGATCACTTGAACCCAGGAGTTCAAGGCTGCAGTGAGCTATGATCATGCCACTGCACTCTACCCTGGGTGGACAGAGCAAGATTGTACCTAAAAAGAGAGAGAGAGAAAGAGAGAGAGAGAGAGAATGAGAGAGAGAGAGAGAGAGAAGTGAAGAAAACCCTGAAAAGAAGAACAATGAGCAAATACTAGCCCTACCATATTTTAAAACATTCTATAAAACATCATTTTAGTTTTGATCTTTGCAATCCTAGCTCACTGCAGCCTGGAACTCCTGGGCTCAAATGATCCTCCTGCCTTGGTCTCTCAAAGTGCTGGTATTACAAGTGTGACAGACTTTTTTTTTTTTTTTTTGAGTTAGAGTCTCACTCTGTCGCCCAGGCTAGAGTGCAGTGGCACAATTTCAGCTCACTGCAACCTCTGCCTTTGGTGTTGAAGCAATTCTCCCTGCCTCAGCCTCCCAAATAGCTGGGATTACATGCATCTGCCACCATACCTGGCTAATTTTTGTATTTTTAGTAGAGATGGGGTTTTGCCATGTTGCCCAGGCTGGTTTTGAACTTTTGATCTCAGGTGTTCATTTGCCTCAGTCTCCCAAAGTGCTGGGATTATAGGTGTGAGCTACCACACGTGGCCAGAAAGACTGTTTACTAAATAGACTGGGGATAATTGAATAGCCATTTGACAAAAGTTAAAATTGAACCTACACTATATACCATGACAAACTCCATATGGATCAGAAATCTAAATGTAAAAATTAAATCATGTGTTAGATACATGATTTATCTAATCTAAAGGGCTTGTTGATTCACAGAAACATCAAAAAGTAAGCAAAAACTATCAGAACCAGCATTGTCAGAACTCTGGAGAATAGTCAAAGATTTGCAGAAACTAGGAAAATGCTGAATCCAGAAGGAGGCAACCTAAAAATGGCAGAAAAACTTTGCAACATTATTTACTCGCCCTTGTCCCACCCTGCCTCCCTGGCTTGGTTGTGCTTTTGAAGATGACAGCCCATGTTGTCAATGTGGGAACCAGGTCCCAGGTTCCAGAGGGAGCAGAGAAGACCCTATTCTCAAAGAATTTTGTCTTTTCTAATCTGTTGGTGGGCTGCTTAAAGGACTGACACAAGGTACCTACCTTTGTTTTGCCTAACTTTAACTTGCTCAGGGCAGAAAAGTGGCTGTGCAGAGAACATGCCTTAAGAACATTGTAAGGCAAGTGAACAACCTGTGCCCAGCCTCAGGATGTATTTTTTTTTTTTTTTTTGAGACAGAGTCTCACTTTGTCTCCCAGGCCATAGTGCAAGCGATTCTCCTGCCTTAGCCTCCCAAGGAGCTGAGACTACAGGCACATGCCACCCCACCCAGCTAATTTTTTATGTTTTTAGTAGAGACAGGGTTTCACCGTGTTAACAAGGATGGTCTCAATCTTCTGACCTCGTGATCCACCTGCTTCAGCCTCCCAGAGTGCTGGGGTTATAGGTGTGAGCCACCACACCTGGCCAGGAGGCACTTTTTTTTTTTAATTTTTGAGATGGAGCTTTGCTGTGTTGCCCAGGCTGGGATGCCACCCCGACTGGCTAATTTTTATATTTTTAGTAGAGATAAGATTTCACCACGTTGGCCAGGCTGGTCTTGAACTCCTGATCTCAGGTCATCTACCCGCCTCAGCCTCCCAAAGTGCTGGGGTTACAAGTGTGAGCCACCACACCCGGCCAGAATGCACTTTTAAAAGTGTCCACAAGAGACTCACTTAATTTATTTTTTTAAAGTTGAATTGGTTTATTTTCTGATTTGCAATTCTTAAATGTTTTGATAGAAAATTGAATATTTCAGTAAATATTTTAAGGCTGGGTGCGGTGGCTCACGCCTGTAATCCTAGCACTCTGGGAGACTGAGGTGGGTTGATTGCCTGAGTTCAGGAGTTCAAGACCAGCCTGGGCAACATGGTGAAACCCTGTCTCTATTAAAATACAAAAAATTAGCTGGGCATAGTGGCATGTGCCTGTAGCCCCAGCTACTCAGGAGACTGAGGCAGAAGAATTGCTAGAACCTGGGAGGTGGCAGTTGTAGTGAGCTGAGATTGCACCACTGCACTCCAGCCTGGGCAACAGAGTGAGACTCCGTCTCTAAAAAAAAAAAAAAAAAAAATTAAAAAACAAACAAAAACTCAGCTGGGCGTGGTGGTGGCTCACACCTGTAATCCCAGCACTTTGGGAGGCTAAGGCTGACAGATTGCTTGAGTTCAAGATTTCAGGATCAGCCTGAGCAACGTGACAAAACCCCATCTCTACCAAAAAAAAAAAAATTAGCCAGGCATGATGGCATGCACCTGTGGTCCCAGCTATTTGAGAGGCTGAGGTGGGAGGATCTCCTGAGCCTGGGAGGTCGAGGTTACAGTGAGCTGAGATTGTGCTACTGCACTCCAGCCTGGGTGACAGAGTGAGACCCTGTCTCAATCAATCAATCAATAAAATAGAAAACTCCAACAGTTTTCTCATTGAAAGACTGTTACAATAAGGTGAGCAGAAGAAAATGAATCAAGATTTAGGAAAATATAATAGTGTTTTGTGTTTTAAATTTATTATTTACTCTAACTGCTGGGCATGGTGGCTTATGCCTATAATCCCAGCACTTTGGAAGGCTAAGGAGAGTGGATGACGAGGTCAGGAGTTCAAGACCAGTCTGGCCAACATGGTGAAACCCTGTCTCTACTAAAAAATACAAAAATTAGCTAGGCATGGTGGCTGGTGCCTGTAATCCCAGACAAGAGTGAAACTCCGTCTCAAAAAAAAATTATTTACCCTAACAATGTCAATATTTAATTATAATTATAATGTTAATTATAATTATAAACAAATGAAAAGTCTAATGAGACAGACTTCCAACTTCTACCTTTAACAGTAATTTTAGTAATATTCTCTCATGTTGTTTTGTTTTCTAACATATTCCACCTTTCCTTGTGCATGCGTGTGTGTGTGCATGTGTGTGCATGTGTGTGTGTATGCCAGGTGTCATATTTGACAAGAGTCTCACTTTAGATCCGAGGACACAAATAAGTCGAAAGTAAAAGGGTAGCAAAAGATATTCTATGCAAATAGTAACCAAAAGAGAACTGAAGTATCTATACCAACATTAGACAAAATAGTCTTAAGTAAAAACGTTGTTACAAGAGGAGCTGGGTGCAGAGGTGCATACCTGCAGTCCTAGCTACTTGGAAGGCTAAAGTGGGATGATTACTTGAGCCCAGGAGTACTCTAGCTGGGGAACATAGCAAGACCCTGTCTCTTTAAAAAAAGTTGTTACAAGTAAGAGAAAGTCATATATTGATAATGAGGTCAATTTATCAGAAGATAAAACAATTATGAACACATACATACCAAATAACAGATCCCCAAAATACATGACACGAACATTGATAGAACTGAAGGAAGAATTCTACAATGGTAGTTGGAGACTTCACTACCTTCTTTTGTTTATTTTATTTTTAGAGACAGGGTCTTGCTCTGTTGCCCAGGCTGCAGTGGTGTGATCATAGTTCACTGCAGCCTTGACCTCCTGGGCTTAAGTGATTGATTCTCCTGCCTCAGCCAAAATGCTGGTATTACAGGCATGAGCCACTGTGTCCAGCCAATACCCACTTTAATAATAGACAGAACAACTTGTCAGAAAATTAGTAAGGAAATCCCAGCACTTTGGGAATACAAGGCAGGAGAATCACTTAAGGCTAGAAATCTGAGACCAGCCTGGGTAACATAGTGAGATCCTGTCTCTACAAAAAATTTAAAAATTAATTGGGCATTATGGCACATGACTGTAGGCCCAGCTACCTGAAAGGCCAAGGTGAGAGGATTCCTTGAGCCCAGGAAGTCAAGGCTGTTGCAGTGAGCTGTGATTGTGCCACTGTAGTCCAGCATGGGTGACAGAGTGAGATCCCATCTCTATTAAAAAACAGAAGAAGAAGAAAATTAGTAAGGAAATGGAATACTGTAACCCAACTAGACCTAACAGATTTATAGACCATTTCATCCAGCAACTGCACAATGCAGATTCTTCTCACATGTACATGAAATATTCTCCAGGACAGAACATATGTTAGGCCACAAAACAAGTCTCCATAAATTTTAAAAGGTTGAAATCATACAAAAGATCTTCTCCAGCCACAATGGAATGATGCTAGAATTAATAATAGAAGAGAGAACTGGAAAATTCACA